GGGGAAAAAAAAAAAAAAAAAAAAAAAAAAAAAAAAAAACACATCTTAGTAAAACCAATACCTTCTCAGCTTCGCATCGAAGCTAAAATATATTAAAAATGTTATTATTAGTAAAATGTATTAGGTATAAGGTTGACGTTTGTTAATGAGGTATTCCCTTTAGGCCTATTCAAAAAGGGAGGGTATTTAATATTTTTTACTTTGTTAAACATGTTATAGAATTTTTTTTGCTAAAAATTAAAGTAATGATGAAAAAATAGGACATTAGATCCTTATTTATTAGAAGTTGCCTAAAGAAATATTGATTGCGCTGGTTCAAGGGGAGCTCATATCTCCCTTAAATACACCCCTGGTATACAAAAAAAGTATTAATATTCTAATTATAATAATTGTGTTTATATTATATAATAATTAAAAAAATTCAGAAGATTATTATACGTGGGACTATGTAAAAAATTTAATTTTGATAAAAATATTGGTAACTGCAATATAACGTTGGACAGCATAGTTGTCATAGATGAATCCCAATTAAAACGATAAAACTCATAGATTCATACATCATCTATGAGAAAAAAAAGATTATTAATAAAGTACTGTTCTGTTAATGAAAGTACAAACTTATATAATTATAACCGTCTTGAAATTTATAAATAACATATAATTATCCTCGATAAAATATAGTACTATGTGCAAATGCAAAATAGTAACATAATAAAAATACATATTACACCATGTAATTAAGGTTTATAATAAACGTATGAGCAGAAATGAATCACTGCACATATTAAAACCATGGGCGAGGACTTAAAAAAAAAGCCCGTAAAATGGTGAAAAATGAATGGATTGAATTGATTTTTTTATCATATCTTAGGAATGTCATTGGGCGGGTCTGATGAAAATTTTAAACCTAAAGTCGTAAAACGTTGGCGTCAGCGAGTTTTTTTCTCGAAAACGGTCGAAATTTTAAAACGCTCGCGGGCGAGCAGCAAAAATTTTCCGATCTTCGCCAATANATTATATTCATATTTTTAGAAGAACATGATTCTTTTCAATAAAAAAAATTAAATAAATAACTTAGTATATATATATATATAATAATAATATAGTACACTAAAATGTACCGTTATTCAGTAAATCACAAATAAACATAAATTCCTTCTAAAAGAAATTAGTATGACGGTAGATAATTAATCAAAATATTTTTAATTACCTTCTGAGTACTCTACATTAGATATCTTGACACGGCCCGCGTCGCTTCGTTATACACGATGCCACGCGACACGTGCCACCTTTATCAGCCGTCGCCCTACTATGAGTATTTGACTGACCAACACCGCATGTTATACGCTACGGTGCAAAGTCCAGCAAATGCCGCACGGCCGACGACGAGCCGCCGCAAATGATACGGGAGTCTTCTTCCCGTTGTGAGAGTGACAATGTTGACCAAACGATCCGCACCGGCGCACCGTTCCCATCAACGCTGCTAACCTTTTGACCCCTGAGAATCACGCCGGACATCGCGTCGTCGACGCCAGCGAAAGTGCCGCGATATTATGCGAAGATTATTATTACTGTGTTTATCTTTTCGATTTGTTTTATTTTTTTGTTAAAATAACCTGTTGTCGCTCATTTAATAAACGGCCCACGGGTCTCTACCCTCATAACCAGTGTCAACCACATTTTTGCGACGTAATTCGTGTCAATCTATTCAACTAAATTACTATTTTACTAATGTATTAGATAAAAAAAAATAAAAATTACAAAATAAAAGTAATTTTTTTGAAAAATTATTTTTTTATGTATTCAAATCAAATTGAATACCTAAAAAATTTGTCACAAAAAATTTTGAAGATCTAATCATACAAGTGTTATAGGGAATGCAACCCCTCCATAAAA